TATTTTGGAATTTTCTCGGCGAGGAAAGGGTTTTGGGAGCCGGGATGGTGATATTCGTGATTGCCGTCCGATTCTCTATCGAATGGTGTATAAATCAACCAAATCTATTTTTTCACTACATCTTTGAGTGAGCTGCACCTTACCTCGATCGAGGAGATAACACATTGTTTTCAAAACTGATCGTGTTCCCAAACGAGGACTTAGAATGTAATGAGGTATCCATGGACATCCACGGTCGAATCTGACTGAAAATTACACCAAAGTGTGTGTCGATGTCCTGTATTATACTGCATGCAGCTTTATACCGTTATTTCCGGAGTTATAGACTCCCAAAAAACCTTGCTTATTCAGATAAAATGCGTTTTCCCAGTCCAGGAATATTTGCATAAAAAAATTATATTATATTTAGAATCAGGGCATAAAACTGCATCGAATGACGTATAACTTGTTCATTTTTTGAATAAACAATTTTTCGACAAAAATTTAAGGCAAGGATCCCCTCAGGCATTATTCGTCTAAAACTTACTTTTCCAAATTCGGATTTTTTAAATTTATAATAACATTTAAAACGTAATAAAGTAGTACTGAGCAAAAATAGTCTCTTTCTGAATTAAAAAAAACACATGTCCGCTGGTATGTAGAAAGCTGGCCGCTGTGACATGGTCTGTGAAAGTTTCTGAAAAAACGATTTGCAGTTGTTTTTGTAACTATTGATTTAAAAATAATTTAACTAGATTCTTATATAAAAATATAAAATTTCTAATCTTGTTAGCGTCTCACATTTCTCACGACTTTGGCGTCTATAGAGACAACTGTCACCTGGGGATGTGCAGGATAACTATTTGTTCAGCTGAGCAAGTTAAGGGCGCCCTATGTATCTTTATTGTCGTTGGACGGCTTGTTATGATGCTAATGTTTCGAAACATTTTTAACTCGATGTTTGCCGATTCTACTCATTAATTTTTTTGCCTTAAAGAATTCCAGTACGCAATCAACGTTGCACATAAAGCGGTATAAATTCAGCGAATATTTTTTCAATATTTAAGTGAGATCGAGTATAAAGAGTAGATATGAGCTGCTAGATTTATCACTCATTACATACCATATGCACTTTGACTAAGATAATGGATGAATGGAGGTTTCTAGACAGTTAAAGTGTACAAATTTCTACGAATCTACTAGTGTAGAATAAGTTTCATACCATAATGGACTGAATGACCTGTAGGAAACCATATATTATAATGGAAACTAAAATCAAGTGGAATTTAAAATTCCATTAGTGGAAATTAAAATGCAGATGCCTAGACATGCAACGAGGCATGAATTTTTGTTGATACTAGTGGTGTTTCCTCACTCACTCTCAGGTTTAGCAATGTTCTTCAAGTGTTATAATCTTTACTTTGTAAACCAGAATTTTCTCTTCAAAGCATTAATTGACAAACAATCATACGTCATCGCGTATCTAGGCATCTGCATTTTAATATGCACTAATGGAAATTGAAATTTTAATTTTCATTGAATTCCAGTTTCTGATATGACACAGTAATTTCATAGATTTCTGGTACTAAAGTAATATACGTTTTTTCTTCTATTTTAGTGAAATCCGATAAAAGTGGTCTGATGGGCAATGATTCTGGTGTAAATAAAATGTATGGTTCACCGTATTTGGGTCCAAATTTATGGGAAAAAGATCAATTGTATTCAGCAGATAAACTCTTTTCTGACACACCTAAACAATCATCTGTCTCATCTCAAAATTCACAAAATAATCAACAACAAAGCCAAAATTCAAATTCAAACATAAATTTCAAAGTTGAATCATTAGATATTGATGAATTTTTACATGAGAACAATTTAAATATTAATGATATTGAACCATTTAATAATTTTGAGAATTTAAATGACACAACAACGACATCAGCAAATCAAGGAGGATGTTTAATGAATCAACAACAATTTTCTCAACAACAGCAACAACAACAATCCTCATCATCTTCATCAAATAATATTCATCGTCAAACGATAACACCTGATGGTTCATCATGTTCTCCTATAACACAAATAAATTCACCTATGCAAGCTGCACCAGCCAGATCGCCAATGCAAAATAGTATCGACTCATCATTAGCTTCAAGTATGTTTTATACTTTGAAATGTCTAATATTACTAGAATCATAATATTTCTTCTAGGCCATGAGTCATACGATCAAAAATCACGAAAATATTCCGAAGAAGATTTACTTAATAAATCGACGCAATCTGGTGGTAAAAAGTCCAGAAAGGTAACACAAGATGCAAAAGTGCGTATAATTCAAAGAATGAATAGTTTCGACTATTTATTTGTTTTCTAATATTTTTTTTTTCTTCTTTGGAATCTTGTGATGTAAGGTACTTTAATCCCTTAACTAAGACTACAGGATGCATGTATTTGATACCGATATACACCTAATACACAGTGGGCATATAGGCGGATATTTGGCCGAAAATGGAAAGTGAGCTTTTATGTGATTTGAACAGTGTCAAATATAATCCGTTAAACGCGCTATCCAATGGCGTAAAAATTTTTATTCTAAGACTTTTCCTTCTGGACAAATTCGGTAGAGAAAAAACCGAATATATAAGGAAAATACTAGAAAATAGAACGTGTACAGCAGTGTAAGCGCGAATCCACCTACATCCACCTTCAGAGAGACTTGAAATCTGCACCTGTGATAGAATCATAAAACCTCATAACTTTATCTATATATAGTTATGGACTTTCCCGCAGCCCTTGGTTTTTTAGGTATTTTGCACTTTATTCGGTCTAGAATCACCTGTATTTAAAAATAAGGCGATATTTCGAATCAGTGTGAAAACCTACATTGCATGATGTATAAATTGTTAATTTTATAAATAAATGTGAAATTACTCATTACTCATATAAAAATAAACTCATTTTTGATGAGAAAATGTTTTTTTCGAATTCGAATTTTCTTACTTATATTAATATCTGACGCATAATAAGACCATATTATGCGAAAATAATCATTGTTTAACTCGAAAAAGCCAGATGTCCGCCTGCTCTATGGAAAAATGTCCACTGCGTAATAGAAAATAAATAACATTGAAGAGAGAACAAGATTATCAAGATACTAGATCAGAGAGCTCAAAGACCTTTCGCTTCCCTATGTTTTCTCGTTCTGTCTATTTTGTCTCCTTTTTATTTAACAAAATACTATTTATGACTAAATTTTCATTTTTAAATTATAGCAGTTTGTACCAGACGAATTAAAAGATGAAAAATATTGGGCACGTCGACGAAAAAATAATTTAGCTGCAAAACGTTCACGTGATGCTCGACGTATGAAAGAAAATCAAATTGCATTACGTGCTTCCTATTTGGAACGTGAAGCCGATGCATTACGAAAACAATTAGAAGAATTTAAACGTGAAAATAAAACATTACGAATGAAATTAGCTCAATATGAAGGAACGACAAATGGTCCAAAATAAATCTTGAAAAATAAATCATTGTTTGTATTATATGTATTATTATTATTATTATTCTATTTTTCCATCTCTCTATCCCAACATACACAAAACGTGCTCTCTCTATATAGTGGTTTTTTTATTCGAACAGTGACTATATTTTCACAGTAACTGTTTCTTTTACTTAATGTACAGTGTCGTAGAATAGATTTATTCAGCGCTTAAGCAACAGTAAAAAACATAAATTGTCTATTTTTTTTTTTGTTGATTGAGCAGTTTTAAACAGTGACACATCATAAACTTTGTATATAATTTTATTATTTTGGGTATAATTTATATCCTACAGGATGAAAATGAATTTTCACTGAAATAGAGAGAGAAATAGAGAGAGAGAAGAAGAGACAAACAAAGAGAGAAAGTACTCAGCCATTATTTCTTGCCAACTTTTTTTTTCTTGTTTGTATGTCTGTTGATGCGTATGCGCGTTTTTACTATTTTTAGTTCTAAACACATCATCGTTCAATGATATATAATATAGTTTATATCAAACATTTTGATCACTACATTCTTTGTTTTTATATTAATTTTTTGTTTTTATTTTAATTAGTTTAAAACACGTCAGTTATACATATCTATATCTAAATTTTTTCTTTCTTTCGTTTAATTTTACATGCTAAATATAATTTTTTGTTCATTAAGACAAAAAAGATTAAAGAAAACTAATTATGCGTCACAATGATTTGTTTATCAGTTTTCTTCTTTTTTTTTGACTGGTTCAAAAGAAAACACGCAAATACTATTGTATTAAAGAAAAGCTAATTATTTGTCTAACATTTTGAATTTATGCATCAGAAGAAATCAAGCTTTCTTTATTCCAACTAGCCTTTCAAAGAGAATGTCAAAGTAATTTATCGCTACATCAACCGTTTATCACTCTATTCTGTTAGAAACTGAGAAGCACCATCACTTAGTCGACATCCACACAAAATGTTCTCATCGTGAAACTCCTAGAATTTCTAAGTTTTAATCAAGTTTTGGTCATAGGTCGTGCAGGCACCAGCACTTCTGATATTTCAGTGATCAAAATGAATTTTTCAAATTCTTTTGAAAGAATGTGGTTTGTTTATAATTTTGTTTGTACAACCCAAAACCGGGGCTAACTTCTCGAGATTGAGAAATCTGCGAAAGAAAGAAAGATTCTTTTGGGGATCCCCACGTGAACCTTTTAGAAGTTCGCAAAAACAGCGATTTTTCCTGAAACAGTATGTTACAGAAAATTCTGACAGTTGTCCATCAAATCATGGGTTCCACTGGGGTTCAGTGGGGACGACGGCGAATATAGTAAGCAACGGTATTTTCATCATAAGTACAGTCCACCGCACTCGGAAAAGAATCTGGCTTATGTTATTCGTTTTATTTCTTTTCATCCATCTTATTTTGAGACGCTTATTCCTAGGATTGAGGCAGTTTTTCTGAACGAGAACTGGTAACCGGTCCCCGTTCAGCAGGAGCTGAAGTAGAGACCAGTTCTTAGGAACTACACGAACTGAAACTGTCCCACCCCTACTTATTCGTGCAAGCTGTTCGTCCATCTTACCTGTATGATTTCGATGGTCATTCACCTCTTTTGCTTTACGTTTGTCACTCGTATGTAAAGAACAATAATCTCTTCGAAAACTTTTTCATTTATTTTGATTTCTTACTAAAACCATTGATATGGTCAGTCCTTGAGGTGCTCTCACGGTCATCCAATATGACTCCCTTCAACTATTAATAATGAAAAATAAGATGTAAAAATACCTCATGTTAGTTTTTATTACAGATGTCAATTTTACTGATTATTTATGCCATTTTGCATTCGCATTTGAATTAGTGACGGAACCAGGTATGTAGAAAGGGCGGGAGACGAATTTTCAGAGAAAAAAAAACGTCCATCAAAAGTACTTACGAGGGAACATTCCCAAGTGACGTACTCCGCTTTTGTTTGAACCTGGCAATATATATGTAATCAAGGACGCTAATTACGAATATGATAACCGTTTGTACCCATAGACCTTTCCTAGTGCTTCTCTGGAGAACCGGTTTTCTAAAAATCTCCTGAAATTCTAGCAATGTTTTATCAACATGTTGGGATTGTAGCCTGGAAATTTTGCATCAAAATGAGACGCTTTCCAGCTCTCCACGACCTTTCTTTGCAAAGTTACAGAATTTACAAGAGAAGCCCTAATTGTTCATTATCAGCTCAGAGATATGGAAAGAAAAAGAAAAATTAATTTAGGGCTTCTCTTGTAAATTCTGTAACTTTGCAAAGAAAGGTCGTGGAGAGCTGGGAAGCGTCTC